TCTCTCTCTCTCTCTCTCTCTCTCTCCCAAATCCCCTTTCTTTTTTTTTTCTCTTTCCCGATTTCACCCCATGCCTGGTCATCGTCCAGATACATGTACTGTACATGTACTTTTAATTTCCGATGTCGATGTCGACTGATTTCTTTTTCACTCTCCACTGAATCGATACCGATATCGAGTACACATGTACATAATTATTGTGAGCCAAGATCGAAAAAGCGCGGACTTTGCGAACACAGTTACCCTACTTGTGCGAAAGACAGTAAAAGTGCTATTCCTACTCTTCGTCTGGAGAAACGAAAGAGAGCTTCAAAACAAAGACTGAAGCGCTGCCTGAAGCAGTGCGCGGACTTCCGCAGACACTTTTTTGTTTGGCTGAGTGAACAATTTTGTTCTTTACAGTCTTTGTAATGAGGTTGGTTGGTGGATGATCAAGTGTAGTTTGTTCCTTCTTTCCTTATGCAACATCTGTTCTCCGCGTCCCTCTCTCCCCTTCTTTTCTTTTTATGTTACTGTCTAGTAGCTCCTCAAATATTGGACACCTATATGACCTAATTAAATTGTGTTGCGCTGTCATGCTGCAAAACTTTCTAGAATTGAAATACATTAAATATTGTGTGTTCTTTAACTGATGCGTCCCACCTGAGACAACGGTTTTCGTAAATCCAACTGGGTAGTAAAACTTTTATTTAAAAGATGATCTTTTTAAAAAAATATTGACAACAGCTGTTAGAAGTTTCTTAAAGTTGAAACAATGCTTAGATATGATGTGATTGCTGTGGAGATTTTTTTCTGCTCGAGTCTAATACTGAACAGTCGATATATTTACATATTTATTTAAGTATTATTTATAAATATTTCACGATGTCTACTTTTGAGCATCGATACCTTGATAATTTGTCCATAACCTGTCCTGCCTACCGATACCATCCCATTCGGTTGGTCATAGACCCTTGTGGGGGGCTATCGGGTGTGTGTGGGGGAGGGGGGAGGGAGATATTAACCTACTTCGTATCTGTCTAGGCGGTCATCACTCGGTCACCTTTGATCTTCTGACTAGATCGCGGACACTGGTGGGTGGCTGGAGGGCGTCACTACAGGCCCCACTTGTCTTTTTTCTCTCCTCTATCATTGCTGTCTGTCTGTCTGTCTTACTTTTTCCCCTGCACTTTTAATGGCAGACCTTGTGTCAATGTACTTCTCTTTACTTAACA